ATATTACTAATGTTGTACCATCTAATAAACCCAATGAAGGTGTCATAATCCATCGGAAGGAAAATTCATGTTTTCAAGCTGTAAGTCGATAATAATGATTTCATATGTTTTTTTTTTTTTTTGTTTTTTTTATCAACATACATTATTGAATTCATAGAACATAATTCTACTTTTCTATATTTAACAAGAAATGTAAAATGTCTAAAAATAAACATGCTCAGTTAGGATACCAGAGTTATTTTATCACCTGTGTTCCAAGCAAAATGTATACATGTCTATATGTTTATGAGAATGATGTGTAAATATGCACATTGATCAATTTTAATTACAATTGAAATGTTTCAAATTTGTGTGAAATAAAGTTTGTATCAATGCCTAGCCAGCATATGTGTTGTTTCAGATGTTTCTAAGATTGTCCATCATGTAACACATTTCCTTAGAAATCGGAAAAGCACAATTTTGTTCGGAAAGAGGAACTGGCTCGTTTTGGCTGGTGATAGCTCATTTTTATCCACTCCAATGAGAACTAACAAAATATTTATTGGGACGAGGTGTGCAGTAAAGGTAAGTAGAAACACATCTCCACTTCCAGATAATTTCCTGCCATGTTCCTAAGATGTCGTACGCAGACATGGATCATTTTTACATTGATTCTCCCTGTGCATATTTCCAATAACAGGCCACGTTTGTTTTTTACATCTATCAAATTTGTTTAGTGCATGTTGCTTCAAATGCAATTATATGATGATATTTAAGAAGGCATGCCATGTGCCATGACCACTGCAGCTTATTTTATTGGTTAAAGTGCTTGCATCTTTGGTTGCAGGCCCTCTTGTTCTAGGGAAAAAAGCTGGAGCATTCCTTAGCACCCAGATTCTACCCCCCAGCTAGTTATGTTATAACGAGTAAGTTTCACTTCTTCATTATCCATTAGTAATCATTATTATTATGGTTTGTATGGCACAAGCACACATTGCATGGTTATATCGTCTCTGTCAAGCAATATTTGGCATTGATGGACACTATAGGCAACAAAACAACTTTCGATTAATGGAGTGGTTTTGTCGTAAAGATCATGCCTCTACAGCGTCATTGCTCAATTCTCTGACATTTAGGAGTTAAAACACTTAATTATTACAGCCCTAGTCACACCTTCCTGCATGTGACTTACACAGCCTTCCTAAAAACTTCCTTTATAGAGTGATCTAATGCCTAAACTTAATTTATTGCACATTCTGTTTAATTTGGAATTTCTCATCTCCTACTCTAGTAATAGCCTTCTAGCCCCTGCAAGAGCCTCCTGTGTGTGATTAAAGTCCAATTTACAGAGCAGTACATTCTAAACTTCCAGAGCAAGAGAATTGAACAGTGAGACTGCAGTGGCATAACGTAAACCCCAAAACTGCTTCATTAGGATAAATTTGTTTGTCTATCAGGGCTGCCATCAGACATTTTTGGGCCACTAATACAGCTCAAAGTCTGGCCCCCCAGGAGCCCGCCTCCAAGCCCGCCCAGGGTCTGCCTCCAAATCACGGCCACAGAACCTGCCTCCAAATCCACCCACAAGGAAGCAGTGTTTGTAGAGTGGATACAGGGTGTGTGTTTTGTGGATGCAGTGTGTGTTTGTGTATTGGCTGCAGTGTGTGTTAGTACATGTGTTGTGGATGCAATGTGTGTGTGTGTGTGTGTGTGTGTGTGTGTGTGTATATATATGTATATATATATATACACGTCTTTGTAGGGACGTATTAGCTGCGAGGCAAACAAGGCAGTTGCCTTGGACAGCAATTTCCAGGGGGTGGCAAAAAACATCGCCCCAAATGCCAAGACTTAAACCTTGTTAGCCTGGCAGCCAACAGTCCAGGCAGGCGGTCCGGCTAAAATTCCATGCAGGCGGCGCTGGCGAGGGAGCACTTTACCCTGAGCTCTCTGCTCAGCTCCCTTGCGCCGCAGAGTGATGCCGGGAGCTGGAATGTCTCTTAGTGTGTGTGTCTGTTAGTGTGTGAGTGTGTGTCTGTTAGTGAGTGTATGTGTGTCTGTTAGTGTGTGTGTCAGGGAGTGTGTCTGTTAGGGAGTGTGTTACTATGTGTGTGTCTGTTAGAGAGTGTGTGTGTGTCTGTTAGCTAGTGTATGCGTGTCTGTCAGTGAATGTGTGTGTGTGTGTATTTAGAAGGTGGGGCAGGGGGGAAGGGTTGGGTGGTGTGGGGGGAGGTGGATGCCTGAAGTTTGTCATGCCTAAGGCAGCACAAAAACAGGATACACCACACTGTCGTTGTATGGTGTATGTGTGTGAATGTTGGTGCTTGAATGCAGGTGTTCATTTGTGTGTAGTGTATACACTTCCATACACACGGATACTCAGACACATACACTGACACACATACAAATACACAGACACAAAGGTACACACACCGACACACAGATGCACACTCACACACATATATACCCACACATACATGACACTGAAACATTGACACAGCATACACACAGACACATGCACTGATACAAAAGGACACAGATACACACAAAGATATACACATACTGACACACACACACATACTGAAACAGACATACATAGTGACACACAGACACATACACACACACACACATGCATAAGGACATACATACACATACATGCTGACACACATACATACAGACACACACATACTGACAGATATACATAAATACATACATACTGACACATATATACTGCCATACATACTAACATACATATTGAGATACCTACATACATACTGTTTCTTACCTTTTTTGTTGCAAGAGGGTGGCTGGGGCTGATGGGAGTCGGTGTGGACCCTCCCTTTTCATGGCCTGGCTGTTTCTCCTCCTTCCTGCGCAGAGTGAGCTGGGAGAAAGTGACGGGCCATCAGTTCCTCCAAGCAGTACTTGCGGCTGACATTTTTAAAGGGGCCCGTTCGCGTAGACTAGGCCCCTGAATATCTAGGGCCCATCGGGTGGCCCTAAAGCTTGGGCCACCAGATGGGCCCTATTAGCGTGCAGGCCCCGGTGCAGATGCACCGGCGGCAGTTCCGCCACTACACATGGGGCCCGGGCGTCCGGCCCCCCAAAGCGACCTTGCTGCCTATAGTATCTTTTTTTGGCACCTCTGAATTTATAAAGACTCTCAATCCAATCCATGCACCTTGCATTTTTTAATTATTATTAGCATTTATATAGTGCCAATATATTCTACAATCCTTTACAATTATAGAATGGATATTTGACAAGTAATTGACATACAACAACTCCTACAGACAGGAGGTGAAGAAGTCCCTTTTCTAATCAGCTTTCAGTTATTCTGATAATCTGCAAACATTTCTCACATTTAGGTGACATATGTAGGGACTGTTAAAGTCTCACTTAAAATGTGAAGCTTTACCTCTTGTCAACTGGCTTCATGTTTAAACATTCTGTTTTACTTGGTCATTTATCTAATTTATTTATTGATTCTGGCTGTTGATAATCTGATATATTGGCTTATCTAGACGTGTTTTGAGTACATGTGGTGCCAACATAACTTGGGGAAAAAATTGTGGTGGTTGGTTGGATGTGTTGTTTGACCCTCAAAGCACATTAATCACAGTTTAGTTTATGTATAGTAATAATAGTTTACAGATTTCTTACTAAATTTTAAAATCACAGGGGAATGGAATTCTACCTCTGTCTTTTGGATTGTTAATTGTGGCAATGTGTTTTGTAGCTTGATTGACAACTGTTAACCCAGTCAGTAGCCAGGTTACATATAGAAGGACTTAAGCACTTGATTTTTTTAACATTATGGGCGAGCCTTTAGAAATAAAGGTTATGGCACTAAGTAGTTCTATAATTACACAATAACGAATATCGCATTAAGTGAATCAAAGATATATACTTTGGGGAAAAAAGTCAGACTCAATGTAATTATCTCTTTACAAAAGGACAATTTGCATTAATTATATTTTGTTGTTTAAGCTAGATCTATATTAGCCTTAAAAACTAGCATCACAGTAGTTTAAAGTTCACTCTAGTGTTACAAGGTAATTCTTTGCACTTGAATATTTTATCTCCAGCACTGAAAGCTTAGACTGGATCCCAAGTTTGAATAATTCAAAAACAATAATATCTCCTGACACTTGGTAGGATTTTCATGGACTTTAATCCTTCAAAATCACATAAAATGAAGCGTTTCAACCATCCCAGGGGCCTATATTAAGCTTCTGTTTATTAGAGTTTATGGGAGGTGAAGCTTGACCTCCATGAAAGTTTTGCTGTTTGCCACTGGGTTCGTTTATACAATCCATTATTTAACCTATCCACACAGAGTAATAGAAGAGAAGGGTGTGTAAACATGGATTTTATTAATTAAAGGGCCTATCTTAACACCAAAACAACTGGCTATGAGCCTAGCTTGGATACAACAAATAAGAAGTTGTTACTTCCTCCAGAGAAGGGTGCATAAAGCCCTTTTCATAGATTTCTCCTCTGTTTTGACAATTTCATTCAGCTTCTAAGTGCTTCGTATGGATTTCGGCACACCTCCTCGTTCATATAAATGTAATTCACACCCAACATGTGCACGCTGTCTGTATGATTTGAACAGAATATAGACAGCAAAGGAGGAATTGCTCCCAACCGATGGAATTGATGAACTGGAACGCATATGCGTTCCATGCGCGGGTGGATGACGTCTTCTGAAGCCGCCGAGAGGTGGAACGCATATGCGTTCCACGAAGAGGAACGGAAATCCTTATAAGGGCATTGACTGATGGAAGATGAAAAACAGCTGATTCCAGCGCACCCGATAGGCGGAACGTACAGAGATAAGAAGAGGGGGATATTTAAAAGCCATTCTGGACATTTGAGAGTTTGTGATGCATGATTTTTTATGCTGTTTGTTTTTATTATTTGCTCCTGAGGAAGTCTACATCTAAGTAGATGAAACCCGTTGAGCTTTTTTTAATGCAATTTATCTTCTGCCTTGCACCATCTGGGAATAGAGGATTCAATGATTTATTGATGAGCATTCTTACTGCTCACTTCTTGTAAGTGTGTACAATTAAAGTGTGTCATTTTACATTTTAAACTTTGCTGCACTATGTCCAGTTTTTTCTTTTGACATGTATTCCTGGAATTGGAAATTTCTGCAAATGAACATTTAAAGAGATACTGATGGGCTTGAACAACTCGTACATCTTGTGAGTGCATTATTACTATCAAGGGGCCATTTCTTTATTGTATGGTGTTGCCCTATGAATTTCTTTTCACCTCTTTCATCATCTTCTGCTTGAAGGAAGCTAAAACAAATACCCTTCTCACACCGTATGTTTTATAATGTCTCTGGGAAAACTTTTCTAAGTGATCTGCTCTATTTATGCTAGTGGGTACTTTTTACATTCTAGAGCAGGCGTGTCCAACCCACAACTATGGTCTGCATGCGTCCCTGAGTCACTTGTAATGTCGGTCCAGTTGCCATCCAAGCTGCCAGGTGGCGAGGGAGGCAGGTAGCCCATTACTTACTGTGCTGTTTATGTACAGCTTCCTCATACACCCTGCAGTGAGCGGGCAGCTGGGATATGATGTCATCTCGGCATCGGCATCCCTACTGGGCACGCAATGGAGCTGTGCAGAAAGAACACAGATATCCCAGAGCCAACAACTGACCACCAGGGAGAGGATCACTCCAACCCTCCCAGAGCAAGGTAGGAGGCTTGGTGATCTCTTAATTACTAGATGTGTGTGTATGAATGTGTTTTTGTGTGTGTGTGTGTGTGTGTGTGTGTGTATCTGGGATTGTGCATGTGTGTACAGGTCTGTGATGGTATGTGTGTGGGGGTCTGTGATTGTGTGTGTATGTCTGTGTATATATATTTATGAATATGTGTGTGTATGTATGTGTTTGTGTGTATAGGTCTTTGGATGTGTGTGGGTCTGTGATTATGTGTATAGGTCTGTGATTGTATGTGTTTGTGTGGGTCTGTGATTGTGTGTGTGTATGCATGTGATTGTGTGTATAGGTTTGTGATTGTGTGGGTCTGTAAGTGTGTGTATGTGTATGTCTGTGATTGTGTGCATATGTATGTGATTATGTGTGTGTCTTTGATTGTGTGTATAGGTCTATGATCGTATGTGTATGTGGGAGTGTGATTGTGTGTGTGATAATGTGTATGTGCCTGTATCTGTGATTGTGTGTGTGTTTATGTGTGCATATGTATATACATGAGTATGCAGTTAGTAGATAGCTCCCTAATTTAGTATCCTTAAATATGTTAATTTCAGATAGGGATAACAAAAAAGGAGTTCTCTACTAAATAAATTAAATATCAAAATTCAGAAAATGGCTTATAAAGTTGTATTACTTATATACATTATCTATATTATATATTTGGTGTGTGGCCTAAGGCAATTCCTCTTCGATTAATGCGGCCCAGGGAAGCCAAACGGTTGGACACCTCTGTTCAAAAGTCCTATTCTCCAATGTTCATGGCAACAACCTTCAAATCTTTTCTCAGGCCCTCACAAAATTTCCTGGTGATTTTGCAAGCCATGTGTTCATAGTGTTCCAGTAAATAAAGTTATATCAGTGTGTATTGGAAATGTACACAAATACACTTGATAATCAGAGCTTGTCTGCAAAGTATAATAATCAACCACAATTTATAATGCTATGGCTTTATGTTGTTACATGTTAGGATGCTACCTGTATATAGTGGATCACACTCCATTGCTTTTCCACCATCATAGTGAATATAAAAACCACTATAGAGGGGAAAATTGACTCCCAAACTGACTTCCATATACTATAAATTCTTACAGACTCAGGAACACGCACAGCTGCCATACTTTACCAGACTCTGGGCAGACCACTTGGACACCAATCTGGGTGAGACGAAACGGACTGCTAGCTTTAAAATGATCTTTCACTCCCACTCTAGTATCCCTCTGCAGGCAGAGCCAGATTAAGAGCCCATTGGGCCTGGTGCTGACAATTATGATGGGGCCTAATTACAGAATCTTATCGACCAAAAATACTAAAACAGTCATACCTACCATATCTGATGGAGATTGTGTTGGAGGGAAACTCAAAAGATGCAGCTATAAGAATACACATACTCTGTGCTAATCTCTCTTTAATTTATGCTTTCATCTTTCATGTAAATCCATACCCCCTAACAGCAGTGTCCAGTGAAGCAGTCAATGGGCGGGGTAAAAGGGTGGGCCACTGACGTGAATCACGTGACCAGAACTGCCAAAAGAGTCGAACATGCCCAAAAAGGGGGCATGTCTGTCCAGAGAATTGGATGCCCAGTCCCCTAGTCTTCCAGTATCTCAGTGTCCTCATTTCTCCCCATGTCCGCATGTCTGTGTTTCCCTTGTCACTAGGATACTAGGGGACACTGAGAGACATGTGGATACAGTGAGACATGTGCACACAGTGAGACATGGGGACACTGAGACACTTGGGGGCACTTGTGGATACAGACATGGGGACACTGGGAGACATGGGGACACAGACACTGGGAGACTAGGAGACATGGGGATACTGAGACACTGGGGACACTGGCTGGGAGGCATGGGGACACTGAGACACTTGGGGACACTGTGAGATATGGGGGCACTTGTGGACCCAGGCATGGGTACACTGGGAGACATGGGGACACTGAGACACTAGGGACACTGAGAGACATGGGGACACATACACTGGGAGACTAGGGGACCCTGGGTGCCGTGGAGACATGAGACACTAGGAACATTGGCTGGGAGACATGGAGACACTGGGAGACATGGGGGACCCTGAAACATTTTGGGACACTGGGAGACATGGGGACACTGAGACACTAGGGACACTGGGAGACATGGGGACACTGAGCACACTGGCTAGGAGACATGTGGACACTGGGATACAGATATTTGGGGACACATGGGGACAATGAGACTCTAGGGACACAGACACTGGGAGACTAGGGGAAACTGGGAGCCGTGGGGACACTGAAACACTAGGGACATTGGCTGGGAGACATGGGGACACTGGGAGACATGGAGACACTGTGTCCTTAGTGTCTCCCAATGTCCCTATGTCTCACAGTGTCCCTTAGTGTCTCAGTGTCCACTAGTGTCTCAATGTTTCCCTGCTGCCTTTCCACCCCATCCTTCACTTCTCTGAGCTGTTGTCTGAAAAATATCTGTATTTGTATTGCCGGTATTACTGCAATACCGGCACTGCCAGGCAGCCCCAAATACCTGTTGTGCTGGTAAAATACCAGTCAGGTGGCAAACCCAAGAGTAGTGTGTAAAAAAAAAAAAAAAAAGTAATTTTCTTTTTTTTTTTAAATGGGCCTATTCCATGGGCCTGGGCCTGGAGCTGCAGCTCCATCAGCCCCTATGTTAATCCGGCCCTGTCTGCAGGAAATTAACTATAAGTTTATTTCAAAATGTTACATTACTCCAGTGGATATACATAGATATGACCCCACCACTGGGCGTACGCAGGAGGGGGGGAGGCAAGTAGGAGAGAAGACAGTGTCAGAAGATAAAGAAGACTGTATCAAATGAAGGAGAAGAAAAGGAGATTGGAGCACGAAGGACAAGTGATGTGAACCCTCCACTTTATTCTGGACACCACATGATAAAGCTTTGGTATCTGGGCCTGGCAGGGAAATTTTTGACCTTCTCATCTCCCCATGTTAAAAAAAATATCAGTGTTAATGTGTTCACTTTTATTTACTGAGTGTCTGGAAGCACAGAGTGCCGCTGAGTAGGGGTGTCGCTGATTGGCTAGAACGGTCAGCTGGCACTCTAAGCCAATCAGTAGCTCCCCATTCATAAAAAAAGTAAAACATTTTTATAAACCGGGAACTAGCGATTGGCTTAAAGCATCAACTGTCCACTCTAGTCAATCTGCACTTCCTGACACTCTGTTTCAGAAGCTGAATACCACTGAGCGACCTGGAGCTGGAGGAAGCCTTTGGGGTTAAACCTTTTGAGAGCGGTTTAACCACTTAAAGGAAAGAGAGCACCCAGGGGCTTCCTGGCATCATAGCTTTTTCATTTAGATAACGTTATTATGGTGACTAGAATGTTCCTTTAATTTGCTTAAAGGAACACTATAGTGTCAGGAATACAAACATGTATTCCTGAGACCATAGTTGTGAAAACGCCATTCACCCTGGCTTTACACCCTGTTCCAAATTATTATGCAAATTCTATTTAAGTGTCACAAAGATTAAATATTTTATTTTTCAGTTTAACTCATGGATGGCATTGTGTCTCAGGGCTCTTTTGATCACTGAAAACAATCTCGGACACCTGTGATAATTAGATTGCCAAGTGAACCCAATTTAAGGAAAAACTACTAAAGGAGGGTTTTCCATATTATATAGCAGAGCACCATTTTCATGCAGTATGGGGAACAAAAATGAACTCTTGGCTGCCGAAAAGAGTGAAATAGTTCAATGCCTTGAAAACATTAGATATTCCACAAAAACTTAAGCGTGATCATCGCACTATTAAGAGATTTGTGGCTGATTCAGAGCACAGACAGGTTTGTGTAGAGGTATAGAGTCCTCCAGAGTCTTGCAACTGTGCATAAACCTTCTATTCGGCCACCACTAACCAATTCTCACAAGCAGAAACGGCTGCATTGAGCAGAAAACATGAAGACTAATTTTCAAACAGTCTTGTTCACTGATGAGTGCCGTGGAACCCTGGATGGTCCAGATGGATGGTTGGTGGAAGGCCACCCTGTTCCAACAAGGCTGCGATGTCAGCAAGGCGGTTTTTGGGCCAGAATCATGGGAAGAGAGCTGGTTGGCCCCTTTAGGGTCCCCAAAAGTGTAAAGATGACCTCTGCAAAGTATGTGGAGTTTCTGACTGACCACTTTCTTCCCTGGTACAGAAGGAAGAATTATGCTTTCCGTAATAAAATCATCTTCATGCATGACAATGTACTGTCTCATGCTGCAAAGAATACCTCTGCATCAATGGCTGCTATGGGGATAAAAGGAGAGAAAGTCATGGTGTAGCCTCCATCCTCCCCTGACCTCAATCCTATTGAGAACCTTTGGAGCATCCCCAAGCAAAAAATCTATGAGGGTGGGAGGCAGTTTACATCCAACAGCAGCTCTGGGAGGCTATTCTGACATCTTGCATACAAAACAAGCAGAAACTGTCCAAAAACTCACAAGTTCAATGGATGGAAGACTTGTGAAGCTGCTATCAAATAAGGGGTCCTATATTAAAATGTAATGTGAC